ATTGCTCACATTCAGTAGCGGCAGCGCTGACGCTCTGCGTGGATTTTTCGAAACTATTTCTTGTAGCAAAACCTTTCATGTGGGAAGTGCGATTGTGTTTGCAATGGTAGTTTTAAGTTCGTCAATCTACTTTTCTACGTTGAAAATCTATGCACTTATATTTAAATAAGTAAATCATGTTACTGTTTCGCATTTTTATTCATATGCGTAGCGCAAATGAAGGAATCCTAATTTTGTAGACATGCCGGAGGTATTTCAAGTAATTCACACTCTCCCGGAAATTTAAACAAGAGTTAAATTAAAACATTTTTCTCACGATATACACAGGGAATCAGAAGTTATATAAATTTTTATAGACATGCAAAACGTTAGTAGAGTAATCAGAATATTCTGGGCAGTAGGACTGCAGGTTAAGTAATCCGGATTTTTTTAGCAGTAGGACGGCAGATGAAGTAATCCGCAATCTCGCCAAGCAATCTCGCCCGAAACAAACGCAGCTCGCCGGCCAGTCTTTAATTTACCGTCTCAAAGGTCTCGCTCTGCATTCGTTAAGCTCGAGTCTGTAAGCCATCTACTGTGAGTTCATTATTTTCATTTGGCCTTTAAAGAGCAAGATCAATACGAGTACAATGCACTGGGTAAATTGTGCTCAGGAACACGTCTAGCTGTCTCTTGAAGGTCTCAAGGGTGAACTCCCCCTCTCTTAGATCCCTTGGTAGGGCGTTGAACAGCCTTGGTCCTGCCACGGAGAGTGATCCTTCTCGCAGGGAAGTGTTGTTCATTGCTCATTCATTTCAGTGTTCTCAGCTCAGTGTTCATTGTTCATTTCATCAATCATTGCACCACAGGGCTGCTCGAAATGTTGTGAGCCGAGACCGTGTACTGAAAAAAATGCACTCCATTTTTGGACAAGACATTATTATTTAGATTTAAAGTTAATAGATGTTGCGAATCTTTGTACAAAAGAATAAAAGTCAGGCTGCCATAAATTAATAATTTAAAATGTTTGCAGTTGTTTCACCTCTGCATTCCTTCTGATTTTACTTCAATATCCTTCGCTTCAAAGTCACCATCCTATCACAAAAATTACTCCGTAATGTAGAGATCTAATACTATTCAAACATGCATACGAGCAAAAAATAAAAAGGAGTAGAGGAAAATAAGGAGTACTCTCCATTTACATTCCTTATTAAGCTATTAAACTTTTCGATAGAATCTAAATGTTTATTATATACTTCCTAAATTAAATAAATCCATTTATATTATATATTTTATGTAAGAAATCGTTAACAACAATAACACAGGCTTCAGGATCAAGAAAAAATGTTTCTTCCAACGATTTTTCCGCCGGCAGCGAGTCTCTCATTAGAGAAACAGAAACGAGTGAGCTGGGAGGCGAGCCGCCAGCATTTGCTTTTAAAACGGAAGTGTTGATTTCTCATTTTCTTTTTCAGTATTACTTGTAATAAATGTGTTCAATTCCAGTTTCTACGTAACTAGCAAATTATAAACGTATGCTTTTGCCCCTTGGAACTTGAGGCGCATGCGAGAAGTGGAGACGATATGTTAGCAGAGTTGAACAGAATTAGTTGTTCAGAAAATAAATAATGAAAATTAGCGGTACCTAACTCGCCCAAAAAGAATATGGGAATGAGGTGGTTCAGGGGGACGAGCACATTCGCTAATAAACTGGTCTTGAGGATACAGAAAAAAATACATTGTCTCCTCAAGACGATAATTTATAATAAAAATTTAATGGAATTTTGAAATAACCATATTCTGGTGAACATTCATATGAATTCATCATATAACATATGACATTTTTTTAATTTGCATTTAATTCCGTTCTATTTCTCAGCGTAACCAAATTGTAAGTTCATAATGTTGAGTTCTGCAATCAAGATGGATGCCAAAGAAAGAAAAAGGAAAATTAAATTACAAAAAAAAAGAAAATTTACATTAATTAAAGAACAGAAATAAAACAGCTGCGTCAATTTTCCCTCGTATATGAAAGTGTTTTGATTCAACCATATTTGATACACATAAATGGAACTTCAATGGTATTATACCGTCGACTTAATTGTTTACAGGACGCCGGCAAATCAGCTCAGACGATAAGTTTGTCTTCTGAACTTCGTCGAAAATTTCTACTCTACAATATACCGTCGGATTTGAGTATTGTAGACGTTTTATCAGGCCGTAGACACACCGTGTGACTGGAGCCGTGCAAAACCGTCACGTTATGTTGTGCTGTTTAGTTCCCATCGCAACCCTTATTTAGAGAAAATTGGAACGAGCATTTAATTAGAGCATAGAAGCTTATGGACGCAAAACACTTTAATAATTAATATAATAATAACTATAATACCAACATTAATATTAATAATTAATATAATAACTATAATAATTACGTTTTAGCAAACATCAATTTACTAATGTCGACAATAATTCATATGGAAATTTATGGGAAAAAGAACAAGTTTTCAAAATTTTACCCGCACGCAACAAGGATTACAAATAAACATTATAATTTGATAAAATTTTGAAATTAATATGGTTAAATTAGTATACAATTTAGTAAATGCTCTACTTTGATTTATTACGCATAGGTTTTCTCCAGATTGATCACCGCTAGTTAGCCTAAATGAAAACGAAAATTAAACTATTTGTACAGATAAATTTTAGGGAAACAGAAAAGTATGCGTTTAAATCAAATATGGACTTCTTATATGTGGCTGACGTTTGGTCAGTTCCTCAACAAGTTAAAATATCATTGATGCAATAATGTCAGCCAAGAAAGTTTTTGGATGAAGGTAACGCTCTGTTTTGAAAACTATAAAAAATAATATTCGTATCAGATTAAAGAAAAGCATACAAGTAAAATGTGAGTTTCTTTTCAAAAAATATTATAAGCTCAAATTACAGATTTTAAAACTTTTCAAGAAAAAAAGTGTGATTCTTACTTTATCTCAAGCTAAAAATACATGTAAATATTAGTTAATAACTTCCAACTCTACGACCTTACATAACCTATGCAAACGCCGATGAATCGCACGAGTCTTGTTGCTCTATAATAATACTCCCCTGGACGCTGTTTGCGTGCTACAGATTGCAGAACAATCCTCGTATTTCTCTCAGGAGATTGACAGTCTGGGTTATTGCAGTCATGATTGCCAGAGCTTTGATGATTGTACTCACGCTTGACAAGTCTTGAGTGAATATTTGAAAAGACGTGCATCCAGGGAAGCGTGTTTGAGTAAGAAAATATGGTTTGTTTAACATGTGGTTGACTTCAGTTGACAATGTAGGGGGCTTAATTATAAGCTCAAATTACAGATTTTAAAACTTTTCAAGAAAAAAAGTGTGATTCTTACTTTATCTCAAGCTAAAAATACATGTAAATATTAGTTAATAACTTCCAACTCTACGACCTTACATAACCTATGCAAACGCCGATGAATCGCACGAGTCTTGTTGCTCTATAATAATACTCCCCTGGACGCTGTTTGCGTGCTACAGATTGCAGAACAATCCTCGTATTTCTCTCAGGAGATTGACAGTCTGGGTTATTGCAGTCATGATTGCCAGAGCTTTGATGATTGTACTCACGCTTGACAAGTCTTGAGTGAATATTTGAAAAGACGTGCATCCAGGGAAGCGTGTTTGAGTAAGAAAATATGGTTTGTTTAACATGTGGTTGGCTTCAGTTGACAATGTAGGGGGCTTTTCGAGCGTAAATGTGGAAATGTTGCTTATGATGGCAGTGAAATTATTTACCGCTGACAATGATAAATGGAAAACGGGTAACGATACTAAAATGTTAGTTGTATTGTCCGTAGAGTGTTAGACATTGTATATAGATATAATACTGTTTTTCTAATGAAGAAAGTTACTGAAATACATTGCTAATTCTACAGTGCTATTACATGCAGTATCGTGCAACATTAAAATATTCAAATTTATTATTTCTTCATTAGTTACCATAGAAAATATAATCATTTTGACAAATTTATTCACTCAATTTAGGAGACGTTCTCACCCATATGTAAAGGATCAATATGTGTGAAGTTCGAATATTTTAATTTTCTAAGGAGCAGCAAAATATTTTGACAGCTTAGAGTTTTCAATTTCTTAAGATAACAAATTAATTTCAGCTATCATAAAAATCTGCCTGTAAAGTAAAGATATTAGAATATCATGCTTTATTTATGGATCAGTTCAAGTAATAAATATTTTCACTCGAATATGAATGATGCATGTCGACTTCTGTCCAGTTTTCTAGTATAATACTTGATGCTGAGAGAGAGATTATTAGTTGATTAGATTAGTTATTCGTCGTTATCTTTTATGACCATAATTATCGCCTACCGGATAGTTTTAGTTGGTACCCTTAGATAATTGAAGAAGAAATGAAAAACAAGTGTCCAATTAGAAAATTTGTGTTAAATCCGGAAAAAAATGTTCTACTCATATTTCATAGCCGTAATTAATATATGACTAATTGAAATAAAACACTTAATAAACGAAACAACAAAAGTTAATTTATCTCCACTCAATGAATTAGGTTTTTGTTATAAAAAATCAATGTTTCGTAAATTACAATTACCGTATACTCTCTTCACACTCGCATTCGTGATAAAATACCTTTCAATAACTGCCAAATCCAAGTTGGATTATCCATTCCCAAAAATTCAATTTATGCGACCAATAATGTATAAAATTGTCATTATCTTAAGAAGGACTAAGCGTTCGACCAAATTATAGAAGCGTTGCTGGTCTAAGACTGGGCTTTTGGACTGGAAAGCTCCATTCCAGTCAGGGACTTTCTGTGGACCGGTTAATTCGTAGCGAATTAAAACTAATGAGACATGGAATGGATCATCAATCCCGTAATTAGTGGCGGTCATTTGCCCTGTTTTGATGGCCAAGCTCATTCGAAGGCAGAGGCCAGCATCCAATGATTGGACCGTCCCAAGTTGGAGCTTTCCAAGGAGTTAAAACTAAGCAGGGAATTCTAGAATTTCGGGAAGAGGGATGTTCTTGGATTCTAGGATATAGGGAAAAAGGATGTTATTCGGTTCTAGGATATAGGGAAGAGGGATGTTATTGGATTCTAGGATATAGGGAAGAGGGATGATATTGGGCTCTATGATATAGGGAAGAGGGATGTTATTGGGTTCTAGGATATCGGGAAGAGGGATGTTATTGGGTTCTAAGATATAGGGAAGAGGGATGTACTTGGATTCTAGGATATAAGGAAGAGGGATGTTCATGGATTCTAGCATGTAGGGAAGAGGGATGTTATTGGGCCCTAGAATGTAGGAAAGAGGGATGTTATTGGATTCTAGGATATAGGGAAGAGGGATGTTATTGGATTCTAGGATATAAGGTAGAGGGATGTTCTTGAATTCTAGGATATCGAGAAGAAGAATGTTGAGGCGCATGAACATGTCTTTTGAACGCCGTGTACACGGGCGCTTTTTCTCATTCCACGAAGAAACTGAACGCAATAGCAGACATGTGTCTGAAGTGTACATGTCAATACATCTTAATCAGAGCAGTAAATATGCAATAATAAAACAGATGTTCATAGTTTTCACTCAGTGATCGGAAAAAAACTTAATATTAAATTTTAAATGTTTTCGTACCAAAAATTTTATCTTCAAAATGATTTTATCTTCATCAGCGAATACATGCACGAGATAATCGGGTAACGCGATTGGCTTCCATTATTTTATTGTTTTCGGAACGACAAAACTGACAACTCCTATGCCAGATGCTTAGTTTTGCAAGCAAAATAAATACATAACTTTATTAATTGCTATGTCAAATTCATATTACACAGTGAGTCTAAACACATAGCCAAGGAAATATTGATTCTATTCGTGGAATCTTATCCGAATGATAACTAGAATGTATTTCTGCTCGATAAGTTCGAAATTGGTTCCATGTTCGGGATGCAGTGGTTAGTGGTCTATGAGTACGGTTGTGCGCAGTGCGCAGCTGCATACTTCGAGATGAAGTCGCTTTAATTCTATGGCAGAATGGTAGAAATAAAATACGGTGAGTGGAGTTTTCGTCCTAAAATCCTGTTGACCCATCCCACCCATTATACAGTGTGGCAGTGTACCTTCACGCCGAACAATGCGAATCGTCTGTTTCTGAGAGACATTTCAATATTTAAGGTTCAATCTCGGGAATCGCACAGTAAGTGATTTTGAAGTCGCTGCATTCCTTCAAAACAGAAACTTTCTCTTGAAAACGCTTAGATTTTAGTCTGGAAATTGCTAATCAATCGATCGATCCTGACCAGTTAATCAATATTTCGGTTAACCTCCTCCAGTAAATCTGACATTACTATTGAAAACGCTTGTATTCTTCCAGTATTTGAACCGATGACGGTGCTGGTGAACGTATGCAGCGTTTTTATTTCTATATCTTCACTTAATTTATGAATTGGGCAAACTAATATAAATACTAGAGAATACTAAAACTATAGGAGGTTACTAGGCGAACATGTCATCATATTCAAATCACAGCGGTTTGAAACTATCGTTCAAATTTTCTCTAATTATTTCAAATGAATTCAGTGCATTTTCTTGTGAATATACGTATCAGTGATAATTTAGGGTATCGTATACAGGAAGGACAGCAGTGAATACAGTTCCAGAAAGCGGTTGTTCGAGAACTACAAATCGTTTCTCTGTTCCTAAACTTCCAACGCTGTGAGTTTGCAAGCGTCATCCCACAAGCTTTTGACGATGTATAGAATTCGATAGCTCGTGTGAATGCAGCAGTTTTTTTTATACGTAACAAAGGCGTGCGAAAAAATATAGTCACACTTTATTGATATTTCATTCGAATGAAAATATATTATCTTTCAGCTAAAAAGGTACAGAATATTTCACTTCAAAGATCAGAAATATCTGCTCGGTTGCGTGTACGAAGAGGCAATTATAATATCTGAATATTCACGGAGATGAAATTCTTAGAGCAGTTGGACACATTTTATCGACTCAGACTTTTATCCGATAATTACTGTCAAACAGGAGGGAATTTGAGCAAGTTAATAAAACGCGAAAGTTACCCCAAAGTTGAAAAATGAAATACGTTAAATATTCATAGAGATTTTCGCAGGAATCGCTCATTGTATAACGCAAATTTTCAAAAGGAAAGTTGATTATTCTCTTTGAAACTGTCGATAAGTAATGTAACAAAAAGTTCTAAATATGAAGCTGTACCAAAGTTCAAAGATTGAAAAATTAATGTGGTAATAGATTAATCGATCAGAATTCTAGACCTCAGTGCCAAGATATTTGAAGTAATAGAATCTCGGAAAGCTGAAAGAGTTTCAGGTAATATTTCCGCCCTAACACGTCGAATTCATTTCTGAAAAATTTAAACCTACTATAAATATTCAAAGAATGGGCTTACTTTTTCGCACAATTATCGAGCGTGTTCATAGCTCATGACCTCAAATGAAACCAATGACACAAATTCAAAAACAAAAATTATTCAGCGTTGTTTGTCCATCCGTATATAACTGAAGAAATAATAATTTTCCTGAATAAAGCGACAGGTAAACAATGGCTAAGTTTTTATTTTTAGTTACTGTGCTGTCATGTTCGGAACAGGTTCATCTTCCTCCAACGTGTGCGGTTATGTTCGAAACATGTTCATATTTTCCAACGTATGCGGCCACGTTCTAAACACGTACAATTCTTCAAACATTCAATATATATACACATATATATTTTTATTTATTGTTATTCATTATAATTCATTACAATCATTATAATTTTCATTCATTATTATCATTACGGTAGCACATATGTGACGGAATACCCAGCAGAACATCGGTGTACGCCTGCCTCAGGGACAGGGTGCAACATCTCGACGGCCGTCAGTCTTGCTCAGGCGATGGCGGGTTTAGGTGTATCACTGCTTCGTCCTGACCACACCGCGGCGCCGCTGGAAATTAGCTACAAGGTTCAGGCTTATTCCTATAATTTCAATTTCTTTGGCTATTTTTAGGCTTTAGTGATTCTAATGTGTGTTTGATAATAACGTGTGAAATAGATTATTAGCGTACTAGCAAACCGCGTTTTCGTGTTTAATATTGTGAAAATTTAAGGTCAACTTTTAACCAGATAAGTAGAACGAACACTTAAGTGATTCACCTAATTAGCCGAGAGCTTGACGAGCTCTTAAGAAGCACCTCGCTGTGTTTACTAGGCAGTAAACTTCAATGCTAAGCTTCTGGTGCGACTGTAACAAGAAGACACTCAAAGTTAGTGCCTATTTCGAAGCCAGCACAGGCTTCAGACCTCCGAAAAGTTTCTTCAGCGAAGTGAATCTCGGAGAAATTAATCTGTGCAATAAAGGCGGTAGTAGTCGCCCAAATGACCTCTCGTTAGACGCTGCCGTGTCGTTAGCTAATATGAACTGTGGAGGAACAGACAGATGCCCTGTCGAGTCTATCGCAGTCATATAACAGCTTCTCTCTTGATTAGATGTGCACGCTGAATGAACTGACACACGACGCGTGACACTCGAAGCTGATTACGTGAGTCAGTCGAGACTGACTGAGTGAGTCAGTCAAGACTGAGTGAGTCTGTCGAGACTGACTGAGTGAGTCAGTCGAGACTGACTGAGTGAGTCTGTCGCGACTGACTGAGTGAGTCTGTCGTAACCGAGTGAGTCAGTCGAGACTGACTGAGTGGGTCTGTCGAGACTGACTGAGTTAGTTAGTCGAGACTGACAGAGTGGGTCTGTCGAGACTGACTGAGTTAGTCAGACGAGACTGACTAAGTGAGACAGTCGAGACTGATTGAGTGGGTCTGTCGCGGTTGACTGAGTGAGTCAGAGCATGAGTCGAGCCTGCAAGAGTCATCGAAGCTGATTACGTGAGTCAGTCGAGACTGACTGAGTGAGTCAGTCAAGACTGAGTGAGTCAGTCGAGACTGACTGAATGAGTCAGTCGAGACTGACTGAGCGAGTCAGTCTACACTGACTGACTAAGTCTGTAGTGACTGACTGAGTGAGACAGTCGAGACTGATTGAGTGGGTCTGTCGAGGTTGACTGAGTGAGTCAGAGCATGAGTCGAGCCTGCAAGAGTCTAGAGACTAGACTCCCGACTCGGTAGTGAGTTCACTGTCCAGGGTGAAATTATAGGAATTACGGTTCATTATATGCTTCAAATATTCAATATTGACGCAGTCAGATAAATGAATCAGTTCCAAAATATCAGATAATTTTAAATGGACAATAGAGGTAAATAAATAATTTTTGAAATCCAACATGCTGAGTGCCTTTGTTTATACATCACCCCTTCTGAATCACAACCTTGCCGGGACTTAAAACACAGCTTGAGTCAGCCTTGACTGACTCAGTTAATTTTCTAATTTAATTGTGAGCGACAATGCCAGAAAAACTCTGACTCGTTTAAGTAACAAAACGACTCCCTTCAAGTGCTTCTAGGAGCAATCCAGGGGACGAAAAACCCTCTGTAAATGTTTTAGAACTCTCGGCGCAGCAACAACAGAAAAGAAATTCCATTAAGAGTAACTCTAAATCGAAACCTCTTGTCTTAATCCTCACTCATTCCACACTCGCGTTAGTGGACGTAATGTTAATGAAATTGAACAACGAACAGGGATAAATAGGAAGCAACACAGCCCCTCTTTTCCATTAGCGTTCTCAGGTGAAGTTTTAAAGATAGCATCGATTGAGTTGCTCACGAGTTCTTGATGGCGAACGGAGTTATAATCGCGCATTGAAAATCCTAGAACAGTCGGAAATTTTTAATTTATTGCAGAAGTGTATGATTCTTGCTTAATAATTGTGATGATATTTCGTGTTTTTTAAGATGGAGGTTTCCCAGTCAAGCGTTATTTCTTAAAAAGAGATTTAAACAATCTTAAAAAGAGAAAACGTTATAAGTAAATGAGGGATAGATGTGAAGCGGTAAAAATAATTATATATATATGTAAATACGGGTAAGATGTTTAGATGATTTAAAATCTCGCTTATGATGCCTGTGTGGACTTTAGTTTTATGATGCCTTTGTGGCATTTCGATATAATTTTCATGTTGCATAATCGATCTCGTATATGCGTTTATTTTTTTCGGAATCAACTATGTTCTTTATTACAATCCTAAGAACTTTTCTGATGTAAATTAAACGCCCACTGGACTGCTAATTGTGATGGCAACTGATGCCAGTAGTGACTAATTGATGCCAATTGCGCCCGGAACTGTGGCGGCAACTGATACTACTGGTGACTAACTGATGCCAATTGCTCAAGAACTGTTGTAGTTGTGACGGCAACTGATGTCGGTAGTGCCTTTGACCGATGACAATTGCGCCGAGAACTGTGGCGGCAACTGATACAACTGGTGACTTAACTGATGCCAATTTCATCAAGAACTGTTGTAGTTGTGACGGCA